CTAAACTGTGAGTACTAAACGTATGTTGGCCTGAAAATCTAAACTGTGAGTACTAAACGTATGTTGGTCTGAAAATCTAAACTGTGAGTACTAAACGTATGCAAGCATGATGGTTTACACCATGAGTATTAAACGTTTATGTGAGACTCCGTGGTCGGATGGTAGAGTTAAAACTGTTAACCCGAAAGTCTTGAGTTCGGAACCCGGTCTCGATCTAACGAGCTCTAACTCACAATGGGAAAAGTAAAGTTAGTTGACTACACTAGTAAGGTGGCTGGACATAGTGCTGACTACACTAGTAAGTTGGTTGGACATAGTGCAGACTACTCTATGCCTTCAAAAACCGAGGTCACAGAAACAGCCCTACTCTACTTCGTCTTGCCCATGAACCGCCAGGTTCGAAGTGGTAGCTTAACTTTTACTAAACGCATTTTGGCATGGAAGAATGTCTCGGATTTTTGTTTTTGTTTTTGTGTTGTTTGATAAATTGATTTCTCGGCCATCTGAAGAAAACTGATGAAAGTGTTTGATGTGATTTTTTGTTGTCTCGATATTTTAGCTCACATGTATAATGTATAGAGGGGTTGGGGGTAGGGTGGGGTTGAGGGTGCTAGTTTATTTTGAGCTGCCCCGCCCCACCAGATATGCACACATTGTGTAACGCACATTCTCGTGGGGTACCAGAAGCTTCTAGATGTTAGTCGTAATTCACCGGGCATTGTTTACATAACCCTATGTCTGGAGTGTAGAAAATTCTAGACCACAGTGGGGCCTACACCATCAGAGGGGGTGGGGGAGGGGGTTACCTCAATGGTCAATCTCTTTATGACGTGAACACACGCATATTTTGGTTGGATTAGTGGGTTGGCTGAGTGATTGGTAGATTAATGGGTTGGTCGTCTGCTGAATTAAAGAACTGTCTTGCTGCTTTAAGGGTTGGTTGGTTGCTTAAAGTGTTGGCTGGTCTGCGAATTAAAACGGAACTATGATACGGGGGTAAAAAACTGCCATTGATCGACATATCGAAGGGAAACAATCCAAGATTTTTTATTCATGAGTTCTTTCCCTTGTCTTATATTCCGTGCGTCAGTGGCCCACTATGGTTCCAGTGGCCCACTCAAGTTGCTGGTGGCCCACTATGGGTGCCAGTGGCCCACTATGGGTGCCAGTGGCTCACTATGGTGCCAGTGGCCCACTCAAGTAGCTGGTGGCCCACTATGAGTGCCCGATGCCCCCTCGATCGGTCCACTGGTACCTTCCCTACGCGACCAGTTGAGAAAATATTGTCTTGTCCTATTCTACAATTATGCATGACAAGACATATAGTAGCACTCAGACACACCTCGACACTTATGCACGTTTGAATATTTTGCACACGTTGTCAAACTTTTTCAACAAAAATATTCCTGTCTGGACAGGTATCAGTAGCTAGATACGAAATCATTTTAAAGTGTCACGGTCCAGCTTTTTAAGCCATCTTTTTATATTCCTGACCATCCAACTCAACACATTCTCGTGACTTTTCGTATGGGGCTCTTTTGCTTTCAGCTGTTTTAAGTTGATATTTTTTTACGTTCAATTTTTTTACGGTGAGTTGTTTTACGTTGAGCTATTTTAGTTGGAGCTATAATCACTTATAATTTAAAATACAGGCAGAAGTTTTTCAGTCAACACAGCTGACGATTTATCCTGTCGATGACACAGTTGATCCTGTTGAGTTTGGTGTAGGAACGTTTTTAAAGTCAACATTTATCTGACACAACAGTTTATATTGTGGAGAATTCTTAGACTTGTAGAAATTTAAAATATACTGATGGTCAATGTTGTACCACCAAATGTTGTGTTGCCACCAAATTTCGCTTCACCACCAAATGTGTCACCACCAAATTTCGGTTCACCGCCAAATTACATTCACCACCAAAAGTCATGTTGCCACCAAATTTCGTGTTAACAAAATTTATGTACCAAATACCGTACTATAAGGATGATCAGAACAACTTTTAAATGACTTATAAAATTACATAAAATTTATGAAACCATTTTCGTCTGGCTTCTTTCTCACATACCCCTATTCGCCCCCCCCCCCCACCCCACCCTCACCCAAATCGCCTTCTTCCTTACACGAATTGACAGCGTGAATCATTTTCAACAACCAATTAAAATGACCCAATCAATATCGACCTTCAAGTCAGAAAACTCGAACATAATCCAGAGAGATAATGATCCGTTTCGTTGTACAGCCGAACGTACGGCATATTTTTACAATGTCCTCAACATTACAGGATGTCCTTCAATAGGACTAGATCACATTGTCCTCAACATTAGAGGATGTCCTTCAATAGGACCAGAGCACATTGTCCTCAACATTACAGGATGTCCTTCAATAGGACTAGATCGCATTGTCCTCTACATTACAGGACCAGAGCACATAGTCCTCAACATTAGAGGATGTCCTTCAATAAGACCAGAGCACATTGTCCCCAACATTACAGGACCAGATCAAATTGTCCTCAACATTACAGGATGTCCTTCAATAGGACCAGAGCACATTGTCCCCAACATTACAGGACCAGATCAATGTCCTCAACATTACAGGATGTCCTTCAATAGGACTAGATCACATGGTCCTCAACATTACAGGACATCCATCAACAGGACCAGACAATCTTGATGCTGAAGCCACATTTTAAATTAGTTAACAACACTTGGCGATTGTGTTTATTTGATTTACTTCAAAGGGTTAATTTAAAATCCATACATTTTTTACATAGACACAGATAAGACCCTTACAACATTAATTTTGGTCCAATCTAATGGTCAAGTGGTAATGACATTTTAATATTCAAACGGTTCTACAACGTAAGAAGTTTTTAATATCCCAACTGTCTAACAAGATTTGAATTGTTATAACATTCACAAAAATCTTCTTTTAAAAATCATAGCCATTTTTCGAACTTGCATCCCCAAATATGATTGTATGAAAGAGACGAAGGGGAAGGTGGGGGGAGGGGGGAGATATGACTTCTGAGATTCGTGGGTCGCCTACTTTGAAAACCAAACCCAATATTTGATGTTATCAGCCCGAGAGCTGCTCGCTATCCCCAGGACCCGGCCCGTGGAAATAGCACAATTCTCAAAAGATGATAGTTAAGCGAAAGGGGCTTGAAACCAGAGTGTCTGTAGACTGAAGAGTTGCCGTTCGTTTCTCCATTGCCGTGAATCGATGAGAGGGGGGTGGCTGGGATAAAAGCTTATTTCCTCGTGTGTGCAGCCCCAAATCCTATTTTTATCAACATTTTCTTTCGGCCGCCGGAGGAGCATCGGCGGAGTGAGAAGATACAATTACCCTTGGAGGGAGTTGTTTAAAAAAAAACAAGTGTATGTTATTGAATGTGACAGGGGGAGGGGCGCTGATATACGGCTCCACATACACGTCTGGCATATGATTCCACATCCAATATTAGCGACATCGCAGAAATAGGCGCTTGGAATTGAGTTTTAATTTTGTTGATTGGCGCATTTGGAAATCCTGAGTCATATATATATATATATATATATATATATATATATATATATATATATATATATATATATATATATATATATATATATATATATATGTTGCCTTCTGCAATAGTGTTTTTCCCACGTTTTCTTTAACTTGCTTTCGCCTCTGTTTGTTTGTTTTTTTGTTTTTTGTTTTTCCAATCAAATCTTGCGATCGAAATTTCGTGCACTTCCCAGTTAGCTAGCGCGCTGAAATTTTCAGGCAAGCTTTGTTTCGGATGACAATAGAATATTCAGCTGTTATTATTACTAAATTGATCCATGGAAACATTTTATTGATCATTTTATACCCCTATATAATTGTACAAAAAACGTGGGGGAAAAGGGACATAACCCAGTAACTGTAATTTGATGAAAAGAAGGTTCGGTACTCTCCCTCTTTTTGCTTACTGAGTAGTTGTCAAACGGTGTTTGTCTACAAACAACCAGAACGTAACAACTGGTGGCCAGTATGGGGGAGACGATATGGTCGAGTGGTTGGGCACACGATTGCTATCCCACTCGACACGGGTTCAAATCTATGTGTTCTAGTCAGTAACGTATTCACACAACGTGTTTTTTACGAGTTGTCCTTTTACGAGTTGTCTTCGTTTACCCAAAAAAAAAAAAAGTGAAAAGATAAAATCGATAGCAAGATTTCAATGCAAACAAACAGACAAAGACTAAAAAGTAGAAAATAATAATCATTAAAAAAGTTTTAAAAAACCCACGTTTTCTGATTGAACTAAAAAGTAGAAAATAAATGCTATACATCACAATAATGCAAGCGATCACTCTACTATAAGCGATGAAAAACGTGGGGCGCCGTGATTTTCTTACAGTTTCTAATACTGTTGACTCTCTACAAGCTCCCTAATAAAAGTCAATAGTATTATCTAATCAATAGTAATATAACTTTTACTTCGGCGCCCCACGTTTTTCATCGCTTATAGTAGAGTGATTGCTTGCATCATTGTGATGTATAGCATTTATTTTCTACTTTTTAGTTCAATCAGAAAACGTGGGTTTTTTAAAACTTTTTTAATGATTATTATTTATTTCATTTTTCCTGTATGTAAAGTATGTTTTATTTTCTACTCTCGGCTTAATTACTGTCCTGTGTTGTCTTGATTCCTGTCCTGTGTTGACTTAATTACTGTCCTATGTTGTCATGAATCCTGTCCTATGTTGTCATGAATCCTGTCCTGTGTTGACTTAATTACTGTCCTATGTTGTCATGAATCCTGTCCTGTGTTGTCCTGATTCCTGTCCTGTGTTGTCTTGATTCCTGTCCTGTGTTGACTTAATTACTGTCCTATGTTGTCATGAATCCTGTCCTATGTTGTCATGAATCCTGTCCTGTGTTGACTTAATTACTGTCCTATGTTGTCATGAATCCTGTCCTGTGTTGTCTTGATTACTGTCCTGACTGTGTTGACCTGATTCCTCTACAGGTGACCCCCTAGAGATCGGTATCGAGGTCATCCTGGCCAGCTTCGACAGTATCTCAGAAGTTGACATGGTGAGTACATTCTTAGCACGGGCGGCAGTCTCTCAATCTAGATGTGTGTGGGGGTGAGGGGCGGGACAAGGGGATGAGGGGTGGGGACGTGAGGGGGTGAGGGGTGGGGACGCGAGAGTGAAAGCTTAGAGAAGTGGGGGTAAAGGGTGGGGACCCCTTCTAATTTGACATTTATGAAATGAAATTGAGAGGTAGCATCTTAACGAAGATGGGATGAAATTGTGAGGTAGTGTCTTAACAAAGATGTACTCAACAACGTATGTAATTTAGGTGTATGTGTGTGTGAGTTGTGTATGTATATGTGTATGTCTAAGTTGTGGTGTACGGTGTATGTGTGTGGTGAGATGGGGAGGAGGTTGTTTGGGTGTTCCCAATAAATTCACCTAAGGCTAACTCTGCGCCACGAATGAAAATATTTTAGACTAAACATTTGGCCATTAAACTCTGGCCCCATTAGACTAAACATTTGGCCATTAAACTCTGGCCAACTAGACTAAACATTTGGCCATTAAATTTTGGCCCCATTAGACTAAACATTTGGCCATTAAACTTTGGCCCCATTAGACTAAACATTTGGCCATTAAACTTTGGCCCCATTAGACTAAACATTTGGCCATTAAACTCTGGCCAACTAGACTAAACATTTGGCCATTAAACTTTGGCCCCATTAGACTAAACATTTGGCCATTAAACTTTGGCCCCATTAGACTAAACATTTGGCCATTAAACTCTGGCCCCATTAGACTAAACATTTGGCCATTAAACTCTGGCCAACTAGACTAAACATTTGGCCATTAAACTCTGGCCCCATTAGACTAAACATTTGGCCATTGAACTGTGGCCCCATTAGACTAAACATTTGGCCATTAAACTCTGGCCCCATTAGACTAAATATTTGGCCATTCAACTTTGGCCCCATTAGACTAAACATTTGGCCATTAAATTCTGGCCCCATTAGACTAAACATTTGGCCATTAAACTCTGGCCAACTAGACTAAACATTTGGCCATTAAACTTTGGCCCCATTAGACTAAACATTTGGCCATTAAACTTTGGCCCCATTAGACTAAACATTTGGCCATTAAACTGGCCCCATTAGACTAAACATTTGGCCATTAAACTCTGGCCAACTAGACTAAACATTTGGCCATTAAACTCTGGCCAACTAGACTAAACATTTGGCCATTAAACTCTGGTCCCATTAGACTAAACATTTGGCCATTAAACTCTGGCCAACTAGACTAAACATTTGGCCATTAAACTCTGGCCCCATTAGACTAAACATTTGGCCATTAAATTCTGGCCCCATTAGACTAAACATTTGGCCATTAAACTCTGGCCCCATTAGACTAAACATTTGGCCATTAAACTCTGGCCCCATTAGACTAAACATTTGGCCATTAAACTCTAGCCCCATTAGACTAAACATTTGGCCATTAAACTCTGGCCTCATTAGACTAAACATTTGGCCATTAAACTCTGGCCCCATTAGACTAAACATTTGGCCATTGAATTGTGGCCCCATTAGACTAAACATTTGGCCATTAAACTATGGCCCCATTAGACTAAACATTTGGCAATTAAACTCTGGCCCCATTAGACTAAACATTTGGCCAACTCTGGCCCCATTAGACTAAACATTTGGCCATTAAACTCTTGCACCATTAGACTAAACATTTGGCCATTAAACTCTAGCCCCATTAGACTAAACATTTGGCCATTGAACTGTGGCCCCATTAGACTAAACATTTGGCCATTAAACTCTGGCCCCATTAGACTAAACATTTGGCCATTAAACTCTGGCCCCATTAGACTAAACATTTGGCCATTAAACTATGGCCCCATTAGACTAAACATTTGGCCATTAAACTCTGGCCCTATTAGACTAAACATTTGGCCATTAAACTCTGGCCCCATTAGACTAAACATTTGGCCATTGAACTGTGGCCCCATTAGACTAAACATTTGGCCATTAAACTTTGGCCCCATTAGACTAAACATTTGGCCATTAAACTCTGGCCCCATTAGACTAAACATTTGGCCATTGAACTGTGGCCCCATTAGACTAAACATTTGGCCATTAAACTTTGGCCCCATTAGACTAAACATTTGGCCATTAAATTCTGGCCCCATTAGACTAAACATTTGGCCATTAAACTTTGGCCCCATTAGACTAAACATTTGGCCATTAAACTCTGGCCCCATTAGACTAAACATTTGGCCATTGAACTGTGGCCCCATTAGACTAAACATTTGGCCATTAAACTCTGGCCCCATTAGACTAAATATTTGGCCATTAAACTTTGGCCCCATTAGACTAAACATTTGGCCATTAAATTCTGGCCCCATTAGACTAAACATTTGGCCATTAAACTCTGGCCAACTAGACTAAACATTTGGCCATTAAACTTTGGCCCCATTAGACTAAACATTTGGCCATTAAACTTTGGCCCCATTAGACTAAACATTTGGCCATTAAACTGGCCCCATTAGACTAAACATTTGGCCATTAAACTCTGGCCAACTAGACTAAACATTTGGCCATTAAACTTTGGCCCCATTAGACTAAACATTTGGCCATTAAACTTTGGCCCCATTAGATTAAACATTTGGCCATTAAACTCTGGCCCCATTAGACTAAACATTTGGCCATTAAACTCTGGCCAACTAGACTAAACATTTGGCCATTAAACTCTGGTCCCATTAGACTAAACATTTGGCCATTAAACTCTGGCCAACTAGACTAAACATTTGGCCATTAAACTCTGGCCCCATTAGACTAAACATTTGGCCATTAAATTCTGGCCCCATTAGACTAAACATTTGGCCATTAAACTCTGGCCCCATTAGACTAAACATTTGGCCATTAAACTCTGGCCCCATTAGACTAAACATTTGGCCATTAAACTCTAGCCCCATTAGACTAAACATTTGGCCATTAAACTCTGGCCTCATTAGACTAAACATTTGGCCATTAAACTCTGGCCCCATTAGACTAAACATTTGGCCATTAAACTCTGGCCCCATTAGACTAAACATTTGGCCATTGAATTGTGGCCCCATTAGACTAAACATTTGGCCATTAAACTATGGCCCCATTAGACTAAACATTTGGCCATTAAACTCTGGCCCCATTAGACTAAACATTTGGCCAACTCTGGCCCCATTAGACTAAACATTTGGCCATTAAACTCTTGCACCATTAGACTAAACATTTGGCCATTAAACTCTAGCCCCATTAGACTAAACATTTGGCCATTGAACTGTGGCCCCATTAGACTAAACATTTGGCCATTAAACTCTGGCCCCATTAGACTAAACATTTGGCCATTAAACTCTGGCCCCATTAGACTAAACATTTGGCCATTAAACTATGGCCCCATTAGACTAAACATTTGGCCATTAAACTCTGGCCCTATTAGACTAAACATTTGGCCATTAAACTCTGGCCCCATTAGACTAAACATTTGGCCATTGAACTGTGGCCCCATTAGACTAAACATTTGGCCATTAAACTTTGGCCCCATTAGACTAAACATTTGGCCATTAAACTCTGGCCCCATTAGACTAAACATTTGGCCATTGAACTGTGGCCCCATTAGACTAAACATTTGGCCATTAAACTTTGGCCCCATTAGACTAAACATTTGGCCATTAAATTCTGGCCCCATTAGACTAAACATTTGGCCATTAAACTTTGGCCCCATTAGACTAAACATTTGGCCATTAAACTCTGGCCCCATTAGACTAAACATTTGGCCATTGAACTGTGGCCCCATTAGACTAAACATTTGGCCATTGAACTCCTGCCTCAGCAGCGGACGTGCTCCAACAATCGACTCATTAGATAGAAAAATTCACGGTTGTGAGAGGACATAAGGATGGATCCAACCCCAACCCCGAACCCTCGACGCCAACCTAGCAACCCTCACCAGCAACCCTCAGTACCAACCCACTTAAACTAATTCATATCTACTATCATCCTTCCCTCTTAACTTATTTAATTCTCTCAGATTCCCCAACCCCTCCCTCTCCAACGTCTCAGAGAGTCCCCACATTTGTCTGAGGCTACAGAAACCCTAGACCACGGGTTCCCAACCTGGGGGTCGCGACCCCCCTGGGGGTCGCCAAGGGCTTTCTGGGGGGTCGCCAACTGGTATACTAAACATAAGTAATGAGAAACAAAACATAAATATTTAGAAGAATATCTGCAGTTCTGCTTTACTAACATCACTGGAATTCAAATAGAGAAGAAGCAAAGCGTAGGCCTACTGTGCAAAGTTGTTCTCAGTCACGAGTTTATAAAATCTTCAAAACTAAAACGTGATTTGAGACGAGTCATTCGGAACACACCAAAAAAGATATTGTGTTCTTTCGTCGGCATGAAGCTAGTTGCAAACGTACGTCAGAGACTTGATCGAACAGGAAGTTTTTACCAAGGAAATACAGCATTAGCGCAAGCATCAAATGAAGTTGCGATAGAAAATGCCAAGCACAAAAAAAAAAAACACACAATAGAAGAAAATCTCATCAAACGCTGCATGTTGAAGATGGTGAAGTTAATTCTTGGGGATTCCAGTGCAGTAAAGGTGAAACAAATATCTCTGCCTAATAATACTACTCAGCGGCTTGTAGCCGACGTGTCCGTAGATATTAAATAACAAATTTTTAATGAAATCAAGCGTTCACCATTGTTTGCTTTTCAAGTTGATACATCAATAGACGTAAGTTCGTGTTCGCAGTTGCTGGTCTTTGTCTATATTTATTCAGATGATAGCAAAGAAGAGTTGCTATTTTGTGAAATAGCATGGAGAAAATAAATACATTTTTTTTTTAAACTGGAATATTAAAGTTGGTTAAAACGGCTGTGGGGGTTTGTACTGATGGTGCGCTATCCAGGTTTAGGTAAAAATCGGGCATTCAGAAAACAGAAAAGATTTAGCTCACTAGCCACTGCATGATTTACCAGTACGCCCTCGTCATCAAGACTCCATTGCAAG